ATGCCGTCCAAATATAGAAGCAAAATAAAGTTAGAGCTTTAAAATTGAAAGATTGTGGTCATGATGAATCCCAGCTCATGGCTTATGGGAATCTACAAACAGTCAAAGAGCGTCTAAGTCTGGCTCAATCGGAAGATCGGATTGATTTTAGCTCTCATTAATTATAAACATATTCGATGCTTATATGTAATTAAATTTCGCTTAGATTGCGCTTATAAAATTGCCAAATCAAGAGGCAGCCTGGCGGAAATGCACAACAAGCTGTTTAATATAGATAGTTAAAATATTGATACGAGCTTTGTGCTGGGGTGTAGCAGCTACTGTTTGATGTCAAATATTTTGATCTGTGAGTTCGGGGCGGCAACAGCTGCTTATCGACATAATATTTCTAGATGCGATAAGCTGCTGCTTTAGCAACAATTGAAAATAATTGTTGTAAACAAGTCAATTATGGCAAATCAATTAAAAACCACCCAACTATGTATGCAGGTGATTGTGGAAACTGCTTTGCGAATCAAAAGGCAAATTATTTGATTAACATCAAAAGCGGAAAAGTTTGACGGCTTGCGGCAAAGATGGCCTAGACGGCATAGACGTCAGCAGATGCCAACTGAATCCATTCATTGATATTCATTCATATCTATTCACATGACGCACTGCAGGCCAAATAAATCTGAGCAGCTCGCTAATTTGACATCCCACAAGCGGCTGGAGCGGCTGAAGCGACCGCCCTTTAGTCTAACACGGGGCATGGCAATGGGTGCTTTGGGCCTGGAGCGGACTGCGTTGTGCCAAGGTTCACAGCAGCGGATGCCTCTGCCTCAGATTTCGGGCACATTTGCGTCCGTCCAAATGCTGTGGCACCTACGCAAATGACTGGCACAAAAAGGCCATTGCATACAACCAGGCGGCGGTTGGCAACGCTTCGGGTATCATTCGGCTTGCCGCGCGCTTCTGATTGGCTGCGCCACAGTCACAACTACACCCACACACGCATGCACCCACACGCGCGCACACACGCACGCATTCGTCCTGCTGTATAAAGCTGGGCCGTGTGCTGTTAACGGTCTCAAACGAATTTTGGCTTTCATTCGAGCGACATCGACAGCAAACGCGCAAAAAAAAAGATTCAAAGTATTAGTTAACACTTTTGAGGTGCAGTGTGGCAGCATTGATTTGCAACGAACAGAGCTGATTACAAAATAGCTAAAACAAGGTGGCAATTTTATGTTAACCACAACCTTATACTCAATATATAAATTTTAAAAAATAAAAGTGAAAACTCACAAATTGGTAAGTGATTTTTGTACTTTACAGATTTTCCCTTTTAATTTCAAATTTTTAGTCCAAGTCTCAATTGCTTTTTCAGCCTGGCAAAATTATTGTTTGCTTAAGTTGCAGCACACATTTCCTATAGAGCCTCTGGCCCACCGCTCACACACACACACACACACGCACGCCCATTTTAATTGCCCCTTCGGTCATATTTTGTGGCCATGTTTATTTGTTCAATTTAATTGAATCAAATTAGATTAGTGGCCACTTGATGTGGCTTAGTTCAGCTTTGCTTTGATTGCGCGTTTCAGCCTTGTTATCATCATGTTGCGTTTAACTTTGCCATCCTGGTTGCTTTGATTAATTTTTTATAAGCCGCCAGGGGCTGCACTTGCTCGCGCAAACTTAAAAGTTGTGAATGCCGCCCACATTTGCCTAACATAAAATTAAACTAAAAGGCAAACAACTCCTACCAACAGCACCAGCTGCATAAATCCGCCCATTCTGATGTGCACACGAATACTTAAAATCTAAAAAAATAAACACCATAATTCGCTGCAGTTGCGCTATTCCCCCTGCCTTCGGAGAGCAACTTGTTGCTAACCTCATCAGTGTACCTTATGCATAAGACTTAACTCAATTGATTCTTAAAAGTTGTTTGTACCTTTGCTTCTGCTCAAAAAAAAAAAAAAAAAAAATAGAAATGTAAAAAGCATTAAAATATGAATTTCGTTCAGTATCAAGTGGGTCAAAATAGTTAAAAGATAAAAATCTAGATCTTAAACGTAATTCGGCGAGAAATATTCCATTTGATCTACATGAGTTCAGCACTCTTAGGGTTATCAGATATTGTTCAAGTTTTCCACTCTTAGCTGTTCACAAACACAATTAAAATATACATTTTTCTTATTTTATATTTTTTTTTATGTTTTATTAACTATGCCAAGAATCAGCAAGTAGTATCGGCTTTGTCAAATGGACAAAGTTTAAATAATAGTTGAGGATATTCTATTTAAACTATATGCAAAAGATTTATATAAACTTGATTCACAATTTTGATTTTATAAAGTTATAGACAGGGATATTTCTAAATTTGGGACACGCAGCAGCTGAAGTGCAGGCACTTTTCACTAATTTTGATACAATTCAAAGCCATATATCTATTTCAGTATACTCATCTCCTGTCGAGCTAATCCAACTAGAGTATATCTTTTGCACATATTAAAATGCGTGACGCATTCTCTGGCATAAATTAAATTGTAAGCGATACAAAAACGCAAAAACGCCTTCAAGTGGCTTTAAGCGTTTATTTGGTAATTCATAATAAGCTGCATTTGAAAATGAAAGCATATTAAAGAATCGAGCACTTTCAGTCTTTACTAGACTTATTGTCTAAGGGCAAATGAACAAAGAAGCAAAAGGTCAATCCTCAGGGTAATTATCTGGAGGATAAATTGACTTGTCCGCAAGGCTCATAATTAACTCGTGATACTAAACTGCACTTCATACAAATAATAATAATAATAATAAAAATAAAAATAATAATAGAAATAATAATAATAATAATAATAATAATAATAATAATAATAATAATAATAATGATAATAATAATAATAATAATAATAATATAAATAATGTTTATTATTATTAGTATACTCGTTTTATTGACAAATTAAATAACTCTTTAAGCCTTATTTTTTTTTAGTTGGTTTGGTAAATCTATTAAAATAAATAATTTTATTATTATTTGCTCTGGATCGCTTCAACACATTTTTTAATTGTACCTGCATACCTACAAATTCTATTTACACACCCACGATTATCTTATTATTTGTTATTATTGTTAAATATACATTACAATTAAAGAACAAAATAATATTTCATTATATAATAATGATAATAGCTAATATATAGCAGGTTAAAGTTAAACAAGACTGACTTAGAGAGAAAAAAAGTACCTAAAATATACAGTTTATAATATCGCTAAGCGAGAAAAGAGATAAATAGAGAGGGAGATAGCTAGAGAGAGAATCGCCAGCAATATAAGACATATCAGACACTCACTATCGCCCGTAAGCCTTACTTGAACTCATGAGGAGCGCATAGTAGGGCTCTATTAAGACAAAATACATACAAAAAATTTTATAAATTACAAAGCAGACTATCAAATAAACATGAATAAATAGTGCGATTCTCAAATAGATTCCTATTTTAAATTGCAGTAAGAGCAAGATAGTGAAAGGGAACTAATATAATAAATATATATTGATATATATTGAGAGAGAGAGAGAGAGAGAGATAGAAATGGAAACGGACGAAACGATACAGTTTATTAGAGCCCCAGCACAACCTGATAATTTAACACTTCTCACCAAAACCTGTCAATCTTTATGAGATAGATAGAGAGATGTTTGGAGAGAAAGAATTTAATAAAGATAATCTATATTGGATAGCTTGCATAAGTTGATAATATAAAACTTATCGGATTATCGGAATTAAAAGAAGCTTACTTGAACTCCTGAGAATCGCATAGTAGGGCGCTATTGAAAAGTGCAAGCATACGAAGAAGAAAAAATTACATACTAAACTACCATAGCTGAATTAAAACTACAGCTTAATTAAATGCTTTATGCGTTACAATTAGTGTTAAGTGTTCTAAAGTTGTTCGGCAACTGAAAACCACAAGAGACTGCAACAAATGTAAAACGCAAATGTTTTGAGCTGGCATTTAATTAGCTGTCATTTGTTTTTCCACTTGCCGAAGTAAGGCACAAAATGTAGCTCCCCAATCAGCGCACGACTATCAGCACGGCCTGAACTATATGGAATGCGATCAGCAGCGATCGGCCACCCGCCGGCCCATGCCGCAGGCACACTTTTAAAAACTGCGCGGGCATTATTAAGATGCCCATTATTCAAATATATATACGCTCACCCATGGCATATGTAAAGGTGATGTTTATATTTGCATTATCAGCTAGCTGCTGATTAGAAAAATTTCACACGGAATACATAAGGGTGCATGTACCTGAACTTTGCCTGGGCAGATGTTGATCGCGGATATTCGTTGCGATGCGGCTGGGATTGGGTAAGGGAATGGGCTGGAAAGCAACAGCACCTGGTGGAAAGTTTTACGAAATTGATTTATGTGTGCCAGTAGCCAGAGAAACGGATATTATATGTATTATACATAAGCCTATATAGATATAGATATAGATACAGATATAGATATAGATATAGATTGGCAGCAGCAGCTCATTAAATCGTTATTAGCTGACACTCTGCGCTGGGAAAATTGATAAGCCGCGGGCGTAGAGACCCATTCCTGCTGCCCATTGAAGTTGACACATGGCGCCGCTGTTCGCGGGCAGATTGATAAACAAAGTAATAACAATAATATTATTGTTTTTTCAGCGTGTAGGTGGGCATTGTTGATTTTTATTGCAGCACACACACACACACGCATAGACCGCACTTATCTGTGCTTATATTTAGTTCAGCTTGGGCTTGAAAATAAATCCCTTTTCGCGACTGAGCTTGAGATATTGGCATATTTTTAGCCAAATCTGAAGTGTCTGCAATCTGCAAAGTCTCGAATCGCAACGCGTGACACGATTCCAATTGCGATTAACGCTTCGTAATTTCTGTCTTATCAACAGCCCAGAGTCGAGAGTTTTATGTGGATTATATAGCGTACTGTCTCTGGCGCTGATGAACAGTCGCACAGTCGTTCAGTCGCCGGGCAGCGCTTGAAAATGTGAAAACGTCGACTCAAATTCGTGGGCAGCTAGAAGGCATAGTTTGGTGTTGCCGTCGTTGTGCTTGAATATAAAAATAGTTCACAATCAAATGAAACAAGTCAAATTCAATAGAAAATCCTGCAAAAAAACCCAACTCTATCTGTGATTATATATACATATATATATATATATATTTACAAAACGTACAAAGTTCCCGAGAAAGCAATATACACATATTTAGTATATATTTAATATACTTAGCAATTAAAATTGAATATTAATTATTGTGCTGCGCTGATAAACAAAGCAACTAGAAGTGTTATTATTTTTTTTTTTTTTGTTATGTCTTATTTGATTTGTTTGCTGTATATAAGCCAATAAAAATATCAACCGATCAGTTAAAACTGAGGTGAGTTTTTCATTGTCTATTACGTACGTACTGCACCTGGACACGCGACCTGTTCCGTTTTAAAAGAACATATAATTCGCTTGGCACACATGTCGTATGATTGATGGCACATGCCAGAAACGCGTTTCACATATATATTTATATAAATATGTATGAATATATAGTTCGTGCGAAATCCAAAATGAATTAGCTTTTATCTATGCATAGTCCTTTGTAAAATAGTTGCAAGCAGCTTGCTTAAGAAATTCAAAGCACGTAATAAACGCACATTTGCTTAAGTTGTGCCACACACACACACATACACACACACGCACACTAATTGCCTGTATGCGGGTGAAACATAAATCAAAGTTCAAAAGTTTTGCGCCCAGGATTAACTACTTAAATGCATGTGACTTGAGGATTGGATGTGTGTGCCGTGCTTTTCTAATTAGTGTAGCATATCCGCAGGGGCAGCCAGCCCATTGTCAGCAACTCAACAACAGGTGGGCGCCGCCACGCCCACTTACACACTCACACACACACACCTGTATAAGTACGCTCGCTTTAATTGCATGCCGTTTGTTCTGTTCCTTTGCAGTTAACATGAAATCCACAATTTCGCTGCTGCTGGTTGTCATCTGCACCGTCGTCCTGGCCGCCCAACAGAGCCAGGCCAAAAGTGAGTATTCGTTGTGCATGCGAAGGCCATTCGAAATGTATTCAAACATTGACTTATATTGCTTGCCACATGCCACTTAAGTTGTTATTCCAATGCGCATTGAATTTAAGCGCAAAAAACAAACCTGTAAATGGCTGACAAGCGGAAGTCACACACACACACGCGCACACACACACATACACAGCATCAATTGTTACAGTTTACATTTAACGGAAAACAAACAGAAGCTTCGACCTCGCGTTGACATCGTTGTCGCCATTGACATTGCTCCTTTGTGGCTTTGTTTATGCAGCTGCCGCCTCATCAAGTGGGGTGAATGGTGCGGGTGCGGGGGGACAGGTGGAAGGGGAAGGGGCGTGCAATTGCCACACGCAGCACAACTTTATTATGCATAAAAGGTGGACTGCACATAATTGGCTGCACTTACTTTCCTTTCATAATTTAGCCAGGAATCCCGAGGCAACAGATATAAAATGCACAACAAGAAAAATATCAAGCAGTTGCTACTGAAAACCCATTAAATAAAACTAAATTTATATCTAATTGAATTTTTAGGTCACGAGATCTTACTGGAATAAAATCGATTTCACAAAGCTTGATCAACATCAATAGTCGAGTCCGTCTGTCTGTCCGTCGATCCTAGAACCTATAAGAGCTAGGGGCTTCAACTTCCGAACGCAGGTCCCGCTCAGTACAAGTTTGTTTTTGATAATCGATAAATATCGATATCGAAATACTGTTTCTTGAGCAAATCCTTTAAATACATATATTTATTTCATTATTTATATTCCCACTAATTCCCAGTCAATTAAACATCTTAGTAGTTTAAAGGTTCTTTAATCTTGTGCTTGTTCTGGAATTTTGGCACATATGGCATAAATCAAACTATTAAATCAAACCAATATAATCAAAACTATTAAGTGAGGCACTTTCATTGCTAGCCTTCGATTCGGCAACTGACATTCAAAATAAGTTAACAAGCAGTTGTTAATGCTCCCGCAGCGACTTGCACGTTGAGCACATTAGGCCCAAAACAAAGTTCAAATGACAAGAAAAAGCGCCAACTCCCTCGTGAAGCTGCCTTAATAAAATGTTGTGTGCGAGCGGAAGCTCAAAAATAGCATCGAGTCAACAGTCAAAATAAACTCAGACGGTAAAGCAAAAAATAAAATACGAAAATAAAAATAAAAATAAATAAAACCATACTCCGAATAAAATATCACATACGCCTTGTCACAGAGGTCAAATGCTTATCAAAAGATGTCTCTCCAGAGCATTGGCAAGCGATTAAAGATTTCCAGTCCCACAGACCTGGGCACAGTTAATGTGTGTTCATAGAATTTTCACATAACGGTACAAGGTTTGCCCTTCTCCTGGGCATTGCAGACACGCATCGGGCTTAAACTTTTTGAGTCAGAGTGTGTGTGCTGGCGTGTGTGGGAGTTATATCGATTACAGTTTTTGCTTGAAGCAATCTCTTGCCAAAGTAGATGCTAGCTAATTCATTTTGCGATTTTGCATTTCGCAATTTTACAGAGGGCTGTCAGGCCTATGGGCACGTCTGTTACGGCGGACATGGGAAGCGGTCCTTGAGCGCGTCGGGCACCGGCTCCGGCAGTGCTGCGTCTGCCAATGTCGTTGGCCTCGAGCAGGAGTTTGTGCGTCCAAATGGCCTGCTGCCAATGCTGGCAGCTAATGAACAGGCGCCCGCCATGCCCGAACCGGAATTCGACGATTATCCGTCGCGTCAAGTGCTCTATAAAATAATGAAGTCGTGGGTGGGTTAACAACAATACCAAAATTTATACACATGACAAATATTTTAGTGCACAACATTTTCTCTCCATACAGTTTAACCGCCCGCATCGACCAGTACCTCGTCTAGGTGAGCTGGATTATCCGCTTTCAAGTTCCGGCGAGAGTTTTAACCGCGAAGTTGCGCTCAACACGCTTAACTAAGCTCAAAATCCAACTTGGCATTAACTACAGCATCAATTGAACCAAATGAATCACTTTCCCAAGCTGCAACAACAACAACAACAACAATTGCTTACACAGCAACAACAACAACAACATTATCAACTACTTATTAATGTTAATTAAAATTGTTTCATAGGTGTCTACACATAGCGCAAGAAATTTTTCCTAAATGCATAAACTGTGAAAATTGAAAATTAACTGAAATTTTTAAGGGCTGGTAAAAATTTCGGTGTACAAAATAAAAAAAAAATAACAAAAACGTTTTCAATAAATCACAAGAAAAATGCTATGGCAAATGTTTTTTTATTGCTTTTATTAACATTTGATTAACTTTTGTATGAAACAATCGAAAGACTATACACATACGTAGTTTGTAGTATTACTTAACACAAATTTTATTTCAAAATAACCGAAAACTTTAAATGGTCACCAGAGCTTTTATTAAAACTATGTTTATGAATATGCGAGTTATTTAATAAAAACGAAATTCAAAATTGAAAAATATTTTCTTTGAGCGTTTAATTTATTTAAATTACTTTTTGTCTGCACAAATATTTTTGGGTATTTAAATTAAACTGTCATGTTCGATGACAAGGTATTAACTAGTTGATTTATCGATATTGCTTGTACACAAACGCACACACTTCGATTGTTATCGATAGCTTCAACAGCTGTTTAATATTCCCGAATGCATATTTTACATTCTGTTAACACTCGCATTCAAACATAAGTATTTTTCTACACACTATTATGAATATTACGCCTTGTTGAGAGTTTGATAGTGTTTTTAATTTTGTAAAGTAAACACATACATCAATTTCTTTGACAAGTATTGTAGTTTTTAAAATAACCGACTTACAGTTTTGATAGCATTGCTCTGTTATGTTAACATTGATTTACAGTTTTGAATACTCTGTTTCAGGCTTGGAAATATTGGTCTTAACACACGTGCTCTGATGTTGCGGGTAAACATGAGAATCGCGAAATATTATTAAAATATCACAGGAAAAGACTTGAGTTAAATTAAATATGACGCATCTGCGCGCAGAGGACAGTTCGGTAGCGGAGGAGAAAGAATCCCGGGGAATTATTAGGGAGAGCAGCCAGATATTCCGACGAAACCGCGCGCTCGGCTATGTCAGCAACCAAGTGCCGGCCGTGACGCGCTATGTGCAGCGCCGTCGAGACACGTTGCTGATTACATGCATCGGCCGCTCCTTCCAGGTGTACACGGCCAGTCATTTGCGTCTGCTGCACGTCAGCGGCCTGCACCCCGACGATATAACTGCCTTGGCCACGGACAGACTGCACACATACACGGCCAGCAACAAGTGTATCTATGCCTGGCGCGCGGGCAAGCATGTACGGCACGTGTATCGGGGTCATGAGCGTGATGTGCATCTGTTGCTGCCCTTTGGCGGAAACCTGATTGCCGTGGATCGTGGCAATGTGCTGAAAGTGTGGAACATACCCACGGACGATGTTTATCTGGATGTGCCCTTCAAGGAGGATGAGTTTCTGATAACGGCTCTGGCTCATCCGCCCACCTACGTCAATAAAATTGTGCTGGGCTCACAGCAGGGCCAGCTGAAGATCATGAACATCAGTAAAAACAGCATTGTGTGCACCCTCAGTCGCCATCCCAATCGGGTGACCTGTATCGAGCCGGCGCCAGCACTGGATGTGGTGGGCGTTGGACATGCTGATGGCACAATTATTGTTTTGAATCTGAAATTCGATACAGTGCTGATGGCCTTCAAGCAGGAGTGGGGCCTGGTCACCCAGCTTACATTTCGTACAGATGGTCCGCCCATAATGGTATCCGCCTGCAGCAACGGTTATATGGCCTTCTGGAACTTGGAGGAACACAAATTGGCTGGCCAACTGCAGGCGCATGAGGAGCAGGTGACCACGGCTATATGCCTGCCCAGCGAGCCGGTTGTCTTCACCACATCTCCGGACAATTCCATGAAGCTCTTTATATTCGACATGTCCGATGGTGGCGCACGGCAGTTGCGCATACGCGAGGGTCACACAAAGCCACCGCTTTGCATACGCTACCATGGCGGCACCGGTGTTTCCATATTGTCCGCCGGAGAGGATAGTACCTTACGTGTGTTCTCTACCATCTCGGAATCGCTGAACAAAAGCATGGGCAGAGCCACCTACAATCCCAAGGCGACCAAGAAGAAAAGTAATTTAATCAATCCAAATACTCTCTGTCCCTCTATGACTCCCAATTCACTTACAATTCACAGATCGCTTTCAGTATGATAAGTACAGCATGCCGCCGATTCTGGAGTTCACCTCAGATGTGGCACGCGAAAAGGAATGGGACAACATTGCCGCCATACATGCGGGCATTATACAGACGACCACTTGGACCTTTCACAAGAGCCGTTTAGGCGAGCATCGCCTGGTGCCAAAACAATTTCAAAACAAAAATCGCGTCAACTTCCAAAGCGAGACCACATGCATCATATCCACCAACTGCGGCAACTTTGTCATCATTGGTTACAGCAGCGGCGATGTGGAGCGGTTCAACATTCAGTCCGGCTTGCATCGCTTAAGCTATGGCGGGTTCCATCCGGCGCATGAGGCAGCTGTGCGTGGTTTGGCTTGCGACAACCTGAATCAGTATGTGGTTTCTGGCTGTTCCAAAGGCCTCGTCAAATTCTGGCCGTTCAAGGGCAATAGTGAGTGTGTGCTGAAACTGTATTCTTGACCAACGAACCCAACCCTTTGCTTATTCCGCAGCTCAAAAGCCGACTGCCGTGCTGCGTTTGGCGGACGGCGTTGCTCTTATGCGGCATCATCGCGAAAGCTCCATGCTGGCCATTGGCCTGGACACATTTAAGATCTATGTGGTGGACATGGAGACGCGTGTAATTGTGCGCAAGTTCATTGGCCACACGGCAAAGCTCAACGATATGACCTTTAGTCCAGACAGTCGTTGGCTTATCACCGCCTCCATGGACTCTACTATTAAAGTGTGGGATATACCTTCATCCTATATGATTGATCACTTTCGCGTGGAGCGTCCCTGTATCTCGCTGAGCATGTCGCCCAGTGGCGATTTTCTGGCCACGGCGCATGTGAACCTCCTCGGTATTTACCTGTGGGCAAATAAGACGCTGTTCAATCAGATTTCGTTGCGTTCCATTGATCCAAACGAGCCTGCACCCTATGTGGGTCTGCCCACAAATATTTGCGATGCCATGGATCTGGAAGACGCCATGCAGGAGCTGGGCATTGACAATGACGAAGATAATGTGGAGCTTGGCGAGGAGATTGATGCCAAATACGAAACACCCAAGCAGCTATCGCCCGAACTAATTACACTGTCAGGCCTAGCTGCCTCGCGCTGGCAGAATCTGCTTGACCTGGAGCTGATTAAGCAGCGCAACAAACCGAAGGCACCACCCAAAGGGCCCAAACAAGCGCCCTTCTTTCTGCCAACGGTGTCAGGCCTGGAGCTGCGCTTCGATGTTAGCAATGCGCCTACAAGCAACGATGGCTCCCGAGTGCTGCAGGTCTCCTCCTTCAACAATCTAACCGCCTTTGGCAAGCTGCTGGAGGCAACTGCCACAAGCAACGATTTCAATCCCGCCATGCAGCACATCACCCAACTGGGTCCGTCAATGGTGGACTTTGAGATCAAATCGCTGCATCCCGACGCTGGCGGCACTATGCTCGCCATGCGGCAGTTCCTCAAGCTTATCGAGTTCATGCTTGGCACGAATCAAGACTTTGAACTGGCGCAATCCTATCTAAGCGTTTATCTTCGCTCCCACGGCCTCAGCCTGACAGAATCACCAGAGCTCATCAAATCCCTGCGCAGCGTCTCGCAGGTGCAACAGTTGGCCTGGGAGCGCATCGAGAGCAAACTTATCTACGGCACAGGCGTCGTCGCAGCACTGCGTAACTTTGCGCATTAGTTTGACATATTATTTCTCTACTTTCTACCATGTTTGTAAATAAATTGGTAACACATTTAAAAACTTAACTATGGTGTTTTAGATGAGAGTCATTTAGGGTCATCAACAAAAAGATCAGAACGCGGAATCATACACTTTGTAGATAAATCAAGTCAGCTGGTCCATTGATATACCTTTTTGGACTTGTGCGGATGAGGACTACGGATTCGCACAATCTGGAAAAATACCGCCGCAAAATATAATTTGGAATTTCGTTCCGCAATATAAAGGGTTGAAGAATATTCCATTTCTTTAATTTCCCATTATAAAATACTTAAAAAAAAAAACATTTGAAATAAGTTATCAATTATTAAATTTCTAATATATTATCCGAATTTTTGCATATGAGATTAACTCGGAAGCTGAGCGTCCGCTCAATTAACAAGTTATTTCTCCAACTCAAAAACGAACTGAAATAAGAAATAGGATGCACAATGTTTAAGGTTGAAATTGTGTATTAATTATTTTATTTGTTATATCCGTTTAATCTAACGCTTTTATTTATGCTGGAATTAAATAACTTAAACTTGTTCCTAGACGCGATCGTGCGCGAACTTTTAATATGCGGTTCTAGTGGCGACTGATTTAAGGTTGTTTTTGTTTTTCATGTTTTTTTTTTGTTTCGTTTTGGGGCTCCTATTGTCAACTCATATCCAACTCAACATAAACGGAATAAAACAATATACTTATAGTTTTATATATATATAGTTTTCGAACCACGCGTTAAAAATGTGCATATTTTGATAAGTATTTTTAGTTTTTGTTTTTATACCTAAATATCGTAATTAGCATATCTCGTAGTCTGAAGAGCAAATCTCTGATATCCTAAGCCATATAACTTCAAATTTGTTTCTTAAATTTCGGCTTCTTTATGTTAAATGTTTGCGAGTGTATTTTGCTTGGGATATTACAATGAATGCGAGTGCCACCCGAATATGGTGGTACCGGTGCTATAGTGGTTGGTGTTGTTGGAGGTGGTGTGGTGCCAGGTGTTGTTCTGATAGGCGCCTGTGTTCAGGGGGGCAGCAACTGGTTTAGATTCGGGGTGTTAAGACGTCTTGTTTTGGGTTACAATAGAACGCAGGGCGAGCGTACACACTCCATATCGCTTGGTTTGGATATAGACATTGTTTTTTTTTTTTGTTTCTTTTTTTCTGTTGTTGTTTTAGATTTTGTTTATGTTTTGTGTTGTAGTTTTAAGTGTAGGCCGCTTAACTGGATGTGCACTGTTGAACGCGCGGTCCATCTTGATAGCCACCCTCATCCTCGTCGTAGGCCATGCGCTGGTGTTGCTGGCGACGTTGTTTGGGATCAAAGTCCTCCTGCAAATTCGTAGACAAAGATTACATTAGTTATGCTAGGGTACCTTGAATGAGTTCTGATTGACTTACCAAAACTGTATGCTCTGCATCAACTGGAATGTCAATCTCTGGCGCCGGTGGCAAGCACTGCTTGAGCGTCGGTATAACTGATGGGTTGATCACATCGGGGAAAATGACCTCAAACTGTATGATTAGCGTGCCCTTCTCCATGGGATTTTTGAATATAGGCATGCCCTCATCTGCGATACACTTGGTCATTTCATGTCGTATAACTTCGCCAGGTTGCGTGGCCACCAGCAGATCGCGATCATCCAGCGTCTTGACAATGCGCTGGAACCCACACAACGCTTCGACCAGCTGGAGTGGCATTTTCATCATTAGATCCGTGCCGGCATGTACAAAAGTTGTATGCTCCTTTTCGTCCAATAATATTATGATATCACCCGGTTGAGATTCGGGCTCGTGATCGCCCTCGCCTGTAAATACAATCTTCTGACCATCCCGCATGCCTTTCTCGATGTGCACCTCCAACACCTTGCGCTCCCGCACAGTTTTGCGTCCGTTACAGTTCTTGCAACGATCCTTCTCCTGTATGGTCTCACCGGTGCCGGAACACTTTCGGCACACCTGCTCGATGTGTTGCACAATGCCGGGCGCGATCTGTTGCACGCGTGTCTCAACACCGTTGCCGCGACACTGGACACACTTCTCGATGCTGCCCTTCTTGCCGCCGCGGCCCTCGCACTTGTCACAAATCACATTCTTCTGCAACTGCAGTTTGCGCGTTGCCCCATTGTACAGCTCCTCCAGCTGTACTGACATCTGGTGAACGACATCCTTGCCGCGTCGTTCACGACGACGACCGCCGCCGCTACCGCCAAAGCCGGCGCCAAAGAACTTCTCAAAGAAGTCCATGGGATTGCGGAAATCACCGGAATCGGCGCCACCCTTCTTGATGGCCGCCTCACCGCCCTCATCGTACACCTGACGCTTGTCCGCATCGGAGAGCACCTCGTACGCCTGCGAGATGGCTTTGAATTTTTCACCCTCATTAGGATTCTTGTCTGGATGGTATTTCAGCGCCAATTTTCTGTAGGCTTTCTTCAGCTCATCAGGTGTTGCGTTGGGCTTCACGCCCAGCAGATCGTAATAGCCCGTTTCTTTGACCATTTTAGCTGTTGCCTTTTAAACTTTAACTGCAAGCACAAACGATTACAAAATTTCGATTACTCAGGTTGCCATATATTTATAAATTTTTGATTTTTTTTTTTGTTGTGCGTGTAACTGGTGCTTCCGGCATGCGAAAAAAATACATAAAAAAATCAAGGTCAGTAGATAATGCGCTGGCAAAGCACCACGTTTTCTAGAAATTTTCTATTTCAATTCGCTTTTATGTTCGGTTTTGGATACCACTTCGACGCGACACAGCTGACTCTGCCCCTCTCTCTATGTCGAGCACTCACACTACTCATTGGCGCACAATTGTATTGACGCAAACACACCGACACACACACACACACACACACACACGAGCAGAGGTATATATGTACATAAGCTTCTAGAAAATTTCGTCAGCATTGCGCAGCCCTGGTCACCGTAACCGTTGCCCCTGCGCGAACAGCGGCACAAAGCAAACGCATGATAATGTGAAAAAAGCACACCAACACAATGACGAGGTGAAAAGCAACGTGCAAAAAAAAAAAAAAGAAAACGCTGTAGAATTTTCTATTGATTTATGTGCGATTTTCGTATGTCCCTCGTCAATTGTGCAAGCTGCAGCGCCCTGCCAGACACATGCATGTACATACTTACGCGTTAGTATGTGTGCACAAGCTGAAACATGTGCCGCGCAGGACGCTGCGTCAGAGGAAAGTAATTGGGGTAGAGACAAAGAAAATTCAGCTATCGCCAACGGCTTGAATCGATTTTGCAAAATGTGCAGCAGTGCATCGACGCACCAAAGTTCACCAACTGCTTGCGTAGGGAAAAATTACAATTACCTATGATTACTTAACAAAGAGTGGGCAAAAATGTAGTACCAAATACACACACAATGTAAATGCCTGCGGAAATAATTAGTTCATTGCTTAGTTGCTCTCACCTTTTATTGCAGTAGTTCGCCGAGTATTCGAGTATTTGTTCTAATAGTTATATATATATATATATGTATACCGTTTTTCAGTACGCTTTAAGAGTTACACTTTTACTACAATTTTTAATCTATTTCGAATACTTTTTCAGCAGCCTGCTATCGCTATATGAATCCGCCACGCTTGTTGTATGAAAGATCGAGAATATATTAGGGGTGGCAAATATAACAATATTTATAGGTAGCAATACTGTCATAGTAACGAGTCATTTATCTGCAGATGCAGCCCTGTTAAAAATGCGCAGTCTGGCAGCCCCATGAGCTTTTAACCGTACGGTCACACTTCTTACAACAGCTGTCTATTGCGACCTGGTTATTCAACTCGGACGAAATAAACAGCAAATTAAAAACTAAAGTCTAAATTAAAAAATCAAAATGAGACATGCTCAATTTTTGGCACGTACAGTGTTCGTGCATAACAACAACGTGGATGAGGCTTGCCGTTTGCTAAACCGCATTCTCGGCAAGGAGGAAATCTTTGATCAATTTCGGCGCACGCGTTTCTACGAGAAGCCCTACCAGGTGCGTTCACAATCAATGTACGGTTTTTAAACATTTGCTAACATTTGCTATTTTACAGGTGCGCCGTCGTGTAAATTTTGAAAAGTGCAAAGCCATCTACAACGAGGACATGAATCGGAAAATTCAATTTGTGCTGCGAAAAAATCGCGTGGATCCCTTTCCGGGCTGCAGTTAAATGTTACCGATTATCAATTTTGTGCATTTGTTATTTAAATGATAATAAAACATGGTTAAGAAACGAGCACTCGATAAACATATGTAAGCACATTTATCGGCGACTCAAGCTTTCAGCAGAGCTTTTGTCCTTGCAGCGTACGGATTTTTACCCGCTGGCTTTAGAGGGTTATAACGCTTAAGCGGCAAGAGCGAGCTTTCAACTTTTTGGCCAAACAATATGCAAGTAGCTCTCGGGTCAGAGTCTTCTCTGCTTTCGTGCGGTTAGGACGCCTTTTTACAGTAATATACGGTACTAAGGTAAAAGTGTAAAACTAAGTTGTAAATTTTCTAAATTTTGCGCTTTAAAAGCATTTTGTTATGTTAACATAATGTTATTTATGTTATATGAAAATATAGCACACTTATGAGCGTTGCCTTATCGTTTTTTTTTTGCAACGCGTTTCTACATGTGCATCTACTTAGTTTATGTGTGTGCGTGTGTGTGTGCATGCATGTATGTATATGTGCATGCTTGTGCTGCATTTGTAACATAATTTTGGCAGTGGTATCATTTTTGCTGCCCCAATACAACACCAAGTGGTTTTTAAGGCTCGAACGTGCTTAAGTGCTCCCGAATGCATCGATAATACGCTTTTGTGGCCAATCCACTAAATATACTGCGTATTAGTGTGAGTCTGTGTGTGTGTGTGTGTGTGTGTGGGTGGTTGGGTGGTTTAGTTGCGGACCACAGCATAAAGTTCACTTTACATCAAAGTTGGCGTGTTTCGCTTTTACAAGCCCTGTCGCCCCCATTGACGAGCCCCAAGCTTGTTGTTGCGGCCCCTTCTTGTGATACCCTTGCAAAGGGCACACTCATTTTGTCGCACGTTATAAAGTATCTATACTATATGTATGCAAAAGTAAGCCAAGTAAACTAGAATTTCATTTACCATAATTTAGTAGAGCTTATACCAAATGTTTATACCCTATATACCATATCAAATATCAGATCTATTGTACGTTTAAACACAACTTCTATAACATTGGAACTATCTACATATGTATTTAAATCTAGACCAAAGTTGGTCTTCACTTTCTAGAGTTGCTTCTCTTGCTCTGCTTCGTTCTCTTCTTGATATAGAAGCTGGCATGGGAACTATCTGCTTGAGTCTGGACCAAACTTGACCTTAACTTTGCTCTGCTTTTATCCATATCAGGGTACTACACTTTATATATATATATATACTTAGCTTTCATATCGATCAGTCGGCAATTGAATCTGGCCGAGGCGGTTATGTCAGCAAGGGTATTTAGTATTCGACGCTAGGAAATTAAGTGTTATTTCTTGTAAGTTTTTGTTGTTTGGTTCAGCTTTGGTTTGGCCGTTTTTACTGCCGCTGTTTTATCGATTTCTAGTGTTATTTTTAGCATTATTTATTTGCATTTTTGTGCGTGTATTTGTGCTCTGCTCTCTTTACGGCACACACACACACACACATGCAGAGGCACACTTTGCACATGTGTGTAATGAAATTTTTGGCAGCTAATAAAATGGATTACGTCGAATGTAATTTTTAGCTCGCGCTTACGCTATGCTCGGCAATAGATTCGTGGCGGCCGTCTTGGTGGCCAGCTGCAGCCTAGCTCAGGCCTATCCAGCCCTCTTGCCATATATCTACAGTAAGTCGGTCTGCAAGTATCTGCATATGTAAATAAATACATAAGCATTCGTGTGCTTAGCTCCATCGAAGCGCGGCGATGCAACCTTTCCATTGATCGAGGACGATGTGGTCGAGCTGGATCAGCTGCGGCAGGAGCCGCAGCCTGTTGTGGGCAAGCGCCAGCATGATGGCAGCACGGTGCGCACAACAACCACCACAAAGGAGAGCATTGAGAAGGTGATTGCGGCTCCGGAGGCGGGCGGCAAGGATCAAAGCTTGCATCTGATTCCCGATCTGGAGCGGCAGCTGGAGGTGGCCACGCCGTTGATGTCCATGTCGACCACAACCACCACAAGCACATCGGCCACCACGACTACGGCGGCCTTTAAGGATGATGGCGAACGTTCACAGCTCGAGGAGCCGAAAACGGCTGGAAAGCCAGCGACCGAGCCGGGCGCACCGCATGCCAAGGTAAAAGCCCATGCCCATGCTTAAGTCCTCTCCCATATGCCAATTTATGTATGTATGCCCATTCTTGTGTCTTGTAAATGCCAATATGTGTCTTTTGAAAATCCAAGTGTATATCCACGAAACCACCCAAAAATCAACAGGCTTTCTACGGTGCAGCGCGTCTAGCGTTTGGCCAAAATCCCGAGGTGTTGCCCACATCTCCCACGTCCACAACAACGTCCACGTCTACGTCTACGTCCACGTCTACGTCTACGACCACGCCCACTTCCACTTCGACAAGCACAAGCCCAACAACAACAACAACTGCAACGCCAGCTGCCAGCACAGAAGCGGCTTCGGTCGAGCGCGATGCCCAGCCTGTCGAGGATTTGGCTGGCGAGCCAGCGGAGAATGCCGCAGAGACAGAGGCAACAGCTGCCACGGCTGATAAATTGCCTGGGTCTCAGCATAATCACGATGTCAACAAGGAGACAATTGGCGACATATTGATCGATCAGCTAGAGGCGGTGGCCAAGACCACCGAACGGCGCTCCGGCATGCCCCATATGACGGCCAAGGTTCTTATGACTACTCACGTAATCCATGCATATCGGCAACGAATTGGCTAACCCAACTAAATTTATATGTCTATTCGAACACAATCCGCACTTTTGTGACCACCTCCCCAACTACTTTTGATATGTCCTGACACTGTTTCTTCTTTTCTCTTTCCCTCTCTCTCGCTCTCTTTTTCAGACCGCCCAGAGTCTGTTGCGCAATCCGAATGGCCAATACTCCTCCTTCGATATGGCTCAATACGTCTTCTGGACTGGCGATGAGACGGGCGTTGCCAGGGCAGTCGAGGAACTTATCGATGAGAATTTGGTGGGTTTTGTATCTATCTATCTATCTATCTATCTATCTATATAGCAAGACAGCTTCCTGATAAAATAACTAACATAGTAATACGCATGGGTTAAAAAGGATATATTGGTTTCCGGCTTTATAATCATATCCAGGAGCTTATAAGAGCTAGAGACAACCAAGTTGAGTATAGTACACACAGATCCAGAATAGCTCTGGGCTTCAGTATTGATGGATATTTGAATAGTATATGTAAATATGCCTTGAAAGCATTATCCATAGTGTGGGGTTAAGGGAAGAAGAGACAAAGCCTGTGTGCCGAGAATATATTTGAAGGCAGTTCGGCGGGGTTCAGGGCTTAGGGTTCATTTACACATATACTATTATATATTTATATTCAAGCTTATCTAAATAGTTTTTGCAACTTTTTGCAGATTACCAGGGAGAGCGCTCTGAAGTTTTTGCGTGATATTCGTTTGGGAATTGAGTTCCTGCAGCGCTCCTATACCAATCGTATTTTCCCCGAGGAGCTGCGTCAGAATCATTTGAAGCGAAATAGTCTGCCCAGCAGCTCAACCACATCGACCACAACAACCACAACTAGCACGACCACGGAGAAGCCATTCATTCACCTGGAAATCGATTCGGAGGGGGTTACACCTGAGGTAGGCCGAGGCAAATCGCTGGACAGCTTCACCTTCTGGAGCAAGCTCAAGGCGCTTGACAACGAGAGTCCTCAAGGTAAGCGGAAACTGAAAATATTCCATACCTGAATTGATACCAAGTGTATATTGTAGATCTAACGGATTATGATGATACCATGGGTCGGGCCAAAATCGTTGAGTATTTGTACAATGAATACAGCTTAGAGGAAATACTGTATAAATTGGCCAAGGTAAGTTGCCTAACGAACTTAGCTGCCGGTACATGGTAAAGTAGATGGTAACTTTTACCCTCAAGGTAATGTTTGCCCAGTCCCTGGCACACGGTTCCGATGAGGCCCAACAGGAGTTGCAGAAGCTAACCGAGTTCCTGGAGCGTGAGGGCAATCTGGGTGTTATACCTGTGGATTTGCAAAAGAAAGTCTTACGTGAGTTAAATGTTAATAATATTAAACACAACAATGTGCATTTCAACAAAACTTATGCTCCAGGTGTGCTGCTCACCGCCTTGTCGGACACTCTGACCGAACATCCGGAGCTATTGCCAGCAGCGCGTCTTAACTTGGCCAATCCATTTTTCAGGCTTCCAATGCATGCTCCCGGCCAATAGAGCGTTGCGATCGGAGCTTGTGAGCGTTATCGAAAGTATATGCATAAATATACACTAATAATCCATATTGAATATTAACTAACTAAGTTATTAGCAGCTGCATAAAACAGATTCATATAATTATTCTGTTTCAAGTTGTTAAACATAGACAGAAATGCGCTCTCTCGGAATTGGTATTGGTCCAAAATTGAACTTTCTATAAAAATGAAAACAACACAATTTAATTTCGCTTTTATCAAGTGTAAAATAGCAAAATACTCTCGTGATATTTTTGGCAAGTTAGAAAGTGCGAGAAAAGGCAAAATTTTTATATTCAAAATATATGCGAAATATGCATGAGAAAATCAACCAAGCAAAAGAGAGACTTGCGCTATTTAAAAATCAAGTATATATATATATTTGTAGATTCTTGGTATGCTTGCTTATATTTGATATGAGTTAGTTGGCAACACTTAAGAGGTTGAAGTTGATGATAATGTTCTTTGTTAGCTGAGGCATCGTTTTTTGCTCCCCCTTGAATATTTAAAATGAAGCAGGAAAGGGCTTTAAGTCCGCATATATCAGTAGCAAATAGAACTGCTTATATACATAGATATATACTTTTTGTTCGATATCGTAAGTCCCCAGATATATATATATATATATATATATGCATACGTACATGTACCCTAGCAAGGAAATACATAGCTAACAAGTTGCTTATTGATTGAGAATTGTTTAATTATTTGTTGAATTACCTTCGTTTTTTTTTTTTTGGCCAATTAATTCAAATGTAAAATGTGTATGTGTGTATGTAGAAGAGAGAAACAAAAGAATTATTGTTTCAAATATACATTCTAATAATATATATGCTGTATATTGTTTAAAAACAAATCAAACTCTTTTATGGTATACTTAATTATTATTAGTATAAGTCCTAACTTTCTAGTTAGTAGCTATTGCTGCTTCTTGGGCTCTGCGTCTGCGGGCCTGGAGCCATCGAGCAGCTTATTTATCTGCTCCTCTGTTAGGGGCTCGTTGCTGTCGAAGATCTTTTCAATTTCGGCACGCTCCTCCGGATCCATGTCCTTGCCATATTGCTTGGCTATGGCTTCCAGTCGCTCCTGGTTCTGCTTGAAACGTTTGGGCAGCCAAAATATCGTTTGCACCATTCTGAAAAGTTTTCAAATGTTCGTCTTTCAGTTCAACAGTTTTACTATCACATATGTATGATTGGATATAGCCAACCTGAGGAATATAAAGCCCGTTATGGCCAACAATATGCAGAGTGCAGACGTCTTCAACATGGTCCAATAGTCCACAACAACTTGCTGATGCTTCATTTTGATGTTCGATTCAAATTGAATCCTTTCACGTCAACGCAACCGTATCTAATAAATTGTCATATGTCTAGTTTTCGGTTTGCTCGAGGAACAATTTTGAATGTTGTGGCCGCGTCGTCATGGATCCGTGTCAAATATGTGACATATACACATGGAATCTCTGAAAATCAATATAATAATATTCCGGCTGCATACGTGTCTCGCTTCTATGTATGAAGCGTTGACCTAGACCCATAGAAGTCGGTCCGAGCGTATAGAAATCAATAGCAGCTCAATATGATTGTGTTCCCGAAATAAAAGTAAGAAAACAATAGAAAAACAGTTTTGATTTTAATTGAATTAAATAGTATTTTGGATGCATATGTTTATCTCGGTTAGGTTTATGTAGAACGACCTGTGATCTGGACCCAAGATCTGAAGGTACAGAAATCAATAGCAGGTCCACGATTATGTTTCCGAAATAGCAGAACGGATAATAAAATCAAGGGGAAAATCTAATGTTCCCGAAAATCAAAACAGCTAAAATACATATGAAAGTAACTTAATTCCAAGATAATTAAACAAAAATTTTGGATATATTTCCATGTCTCGATTAGGTTTATGTGAAGCGTTGACCCAAAGAAGACCTTCAGAAATTCATCATGATATTCCCAAAATTATTTTGCGCCAAAATAGATCAGATAAAATACAATTTTGGCTGCAAACGTGTTTTATTACTATGAGACTAGTTGATTAGAACTTATAGCAAAAGTATTATAGATGCATATGCTTGGGTTCCGAATATTACTTGAAAACCAATCAGCTCCATACAAATTAGAGTGATCTAGTCGGGAGTGCCCAACTAGGAGATACTCTGAACCATATTTAAGCAATACGTTAAACGATATTAAAAGTCGGTTTCCTCGGTAGCTATGAACTGAGTGATACTTGATTTGTAGGTACTATTCTACAAGCTACGTGTCAAATTTGATGGATCTAGTTCTTAAGACGCAAGAGATTTGCTCAAGAAACAGAATTTCGAAATCGATTTTTGTCGAATGCTTGAAAACGTGACTGGTTATTGATTATAGGAAATTATACCTTGCGGGCACTAGCAGAGCCTAAGTTCAAAATTTGTACAGGTTCAGAGATGCCTGCGTTCATGCGGACAGACAGACAGAGCAGAGGCTAGGTCTACTCTACTATTGATGCTAATCAAGAATATATATGCGTAATGGAGTCGGAGGTGCTTTTTTGGGCCAGTTACATTTGGAGTCAATTAAATAATATTTTAAGTGGAAAGGTGTCTCGATTATGTTTATGGAAATCGGTTACTTAGACCCATAAATTGCAGGAATAGATATCAACGCCATGATGATGTTTCCAAATAGTAAAAATAAAACTATAATAAAGAATATCATGATTTTAATTTAACTAAAGTTTATTGCGATCGTACGATTGCACTTATCTGTCTATTTATTTATAGTACCAGACTATAATATAAGCACGATTGAAGGAATTTTGCAAAAAAACAATAAATAAAATATATACAAAAAAAAAAAAAAAATAAAAATAATGACGATAAAGTTAGACATGTGCTGAAGTATCAGTGGGATCGGGCAATTGTAAATTAGACTCAGGTGTCTAAAGTCAAAAATAAAAAAAATAAAAAAAGCTGATTAGGGCCCAGCTCCGCATAGCGTACAATTCGCGGGGGTTAACAAAGTGTACAATTTTTTGACTCAGACCCCAGTCTGAGAAGGAATACTATCAATAGATAGCACTGAGTACTATCTCAGATATTGATGGGCCGATAACAGATACCCTATATAAGGCAATGGACATCGCAGCTCAACACAATAGAACCCAAATACATCAAGAAGAGACCATGAGAAGGTACATCATTTGCGCGTCCATGCTGTTGGGCGTCCTGGGTCTGGCTCTGGCTGGCCAAAGACCCATCTCCGATTGCGTAAGTCTCGGGTCAGCTGTTCAAAATTGTAATTTCTAGCCATAAATTGTGTGCAGGGCGAACGCATTGAGGACGATGGCTATCCGATGGAGCGGCACACGGTTGTCACCGAGGACAACTACATTTTGACCATGCATCGCATACCCTACTCCCCGAAGACGGGCTTCACTGGTCAGCGACCGGTTGCCTTCCTCATGCACGGCATGTTGAGTTCCAGCTCTGATTGGGTGCTGATGGGTCCGGGCAAGGCGCTGGCCTACATTCTATCCGATGCCGGCTACGATGTCTGGATGGGCAATGCCCGTGGCAATACGTACTCGAAGGCGCACAAATATTGGCCCACATTCTGGCAAATCTTCTGGAACTTCAGCTGGAACGAGATTGGTATCTATGATGTGCCCGCCATGATTGACTACGCTCTCGATGTGACCGGTGAGAAGCAGGTGCAATATGTTGGACACTCTCAGGGCACCACTGTCTACCTGGTCATGATGTCCGAGAAGCCCGCCTACAATGACAAAATAAAGTCCGCCCATCTGCTGGGACCTGCCGCCTATATGGGCAACATGAAGAGCCCCTTGACCCGTGCCTTTGCCCCCATTTTGGGCGTGCCCAATGCGATTGTTGAGCTCTGCGGCTCCATGGAGTTCATGCCCAGCAACAAGTTTAAGCAGGATATGGGCATCGAGATGTGCCAGGCCACCTCACCTTATGCCGAGATGTGCGCCAACGAGATCTTCCTGATTGGCGGCTACGACTCCGAGCAACTGGACTATGTAAGTGTTGCATCACCTCCAATAACTAGATGAATGTCTATAAATGCCAGCGTTTGCTTTTCTGTAGGATCTGCTGGAGCATATTAAGGCTACTTCGCCTGCTGGCGCCTCAGTTAATCAGAATCTGCACTTCTGCCAGGAGCACAACTCCGGCAAGTTCCGCAAGTTCGACTACTCCGTCATTCGCAATCCCTACGAGTACGGCAGCTACTATCCCCCCGAGTACAAGCTAAAGAACGCCAAGGCTCCTGTCCTGCTCTACTATGGTGCCAATGATTGGATGTGCGATCTGAGCGATGTCCGGAAACTGCGCGATGAGCTGCCCAACATGGCACTCGACTATCTGGTGCCGTTCGAGAAATGGGCACATTTGGATTTCATTTGGGGCACCGAGGCCAAGAAATACGTTTACGATGAGATTCTCAGCCAGATGTCCAACTATGAATAAAATCTTTATTTTGGAACTGCACAATAAATTCGAGCAAAAACTGAGCATATTTTACTCCACTTGAAATTCTGCCAGATACTCCAGCTTCAGCTCGTCATCCTTGAACAGTTGGACAATTAGGTTATAGTCGTCAGTTACCAGAACTTTTGCCCATCGCGATGAATTTATAGGGTAATCCTTGAGATGAAACTTGTTCGGTGCTAGGGGACAGTTATCGGGTTGGGGCGCATTCGAATATTCCTTCAGCGTTTCATAGAAGAAGTCCTTATAAAAGGTGTTCATCAGTTCGCAAAACCGAAGTTTCACTTCCATATATGGTTTATAACTATCGTCACCGCTGTCCTTTCGATAAAGTGTCATATTCACCTACGATACGAATAGTTAATTGTGTTTTAAGATATGTGTACAATAATATCTATAGGATATATATAGGACTGTCTGATTCGACTGACTGACCTAAGAGATAGGAAGAACCTAAGATGGAGTTTTTGGATATTCCACCCGCAACTATGGAAAATTGGGGGGAAACTTTCGTATGAATCTATTCTTATTATTCATTCAATTAAACAAACTAATTTTCAAAGTTACACCTGGGTCGAAATGTGTGGGCAAAGATTGTTGTTATTTCTGTGAAATGACGCCAAATATCCTTTGCAAATATCCTTTATCTGTGAAAGTGTTTTACACTTTTTGGCGAATCCACTCGCCTGAGTGAAAAATGGACATCAATGTTAGCGTGGCAAAATTTAAAATTTTATGCAATCGGCTTCAATTTTCTTTTTTTTTTTAAAACTCTAATTAAGGACTCGATATATATGTTTCTTAGGTATTTTTAGAAATTTCACCCGCTACTGTGGAAAATTGGCGGAAAACGGTTGCATGAAGAGAGAATGTTTATTTTCCGTTTACAGGCTTCACAGGACTAGATTGAGCGTATAGGTAGGAGTAGATTTAAATTTTCCACATGCAGCAAATGGGTGGAAAATAAATTTTTTAAATACAAGAAAAGAAACGTGGACCAGACTTGACAAAACCAGGTAGCTTAACTGAGGACTCTGCAGAAGCTGACTTTTGTTTTGTGCCCACAATCGGGAAAGCCTTTAATTTGACCATATTCAATAATTCTAATATATGCGAAAAATAATTTGAGACATGCTTTAAGCTTTTTGAGAAATACTTTATGGACAAGCCAATTCCAAACGAATAAGGCAATCCCTCTGGAAATAAATTGTAGGACAATGTGGTTATGTTTTTCCAATCGTGGAAAAGTGAACCGGGCAAAGCCGGCTAATGCCGTCTCTTGAAAATCTATCTGGCTCACCTTCCAATCGTCGTCGAGAGTGACGTGGGTTGTTATCTCGCCACTTAGCCTTGTGTGGCCCTCATCATCCGTCTCGACGAGCCATACGCTGCTTTGAAAAAAGTTTTCGTCCTCGAGAACCTTTTTAAAATGTCGCGGCTTGACAATGTGACCGCTTTCAGCTGGAACCAGGACAAAGCTGGTGAGTAGCAGCAGGCCCAGATGCACAGAATACGATGACATTCTACTGGAAAATGATTTGGCAATCGCTTAGCGCATAGCGTTTATATGTGATCAATTCTCGCATATTGCGCATTCGCCACGTAAGCCGATGTTATCCAAACTGGAAACGGATGCTGGAACATGTTTTATGGGGTGTTACAACTAGAAACATTACTTTTTTTCCAAATAAATCTGTTGCGGGATGTTTCTACACAGGCAACAATAACTTTTAATTTTGTTCATAATTCGATCAAAATTTTGATAACACCTCATATTTAAAAAAAAAAATGAGAAATGTGAATTTTATAAAATCGCCACAGCAGCAAATTTTTAAATTAGCATTGTCTAAAACTAGGTCGTGCGCGCTTCACATTGTTGGACGAGTTGCAGCTGGAATGTTAGCACTATTGAGTGGATATATTGTGGGTTTTCTTCTCGTAGCCAAAATTTAACCGCAACTGCTCTAGGAACATGAACGTCAGTATCGTTTGCGGCCCAAGTCGCACAAATGCCGGCACATAGCCCTTGAAGAAGCCAAGTGGGCCCAATTTGGCGGTGTGGAGCACAATATCCCATAGGCCCTTGTACTCGCCCGGCTTGGCGTTCATCGAACGCGTCTTAAGCACATCCATGGGCTGTGTTAACGTAGTGGCAATTGTGCCCGCCATCAGTGAGGCCGTGAAGTGTGTGATCAAATTGTCGTGGAAGTAGGACGTCGCCAGCAGGGTTGACTTAATCTGATCATAAAATGCAATCTGGCCGATGGTCATGAAGACGCCGCGAGCCGTTGCTGTGGTGCCACCAGCGAAAAGTTTTGTAAAGCCTTCCGTTTGGTACACCTTGACAATGCCATCCAATCCGCATCGGTAGCTGTGGGCACACAGAAAGAAAATATAAGATTGAATCAAGACAGGATCTTTGTTATACTTATAACTTACTTTCTGCGCAGCTCCGGGGCCAGCTTCACATCGTTTTGCATGCGCACGTTTATCATATCAGCGGGAGTGCCAAAGATGCCTCCAATCATACCAGAAATTCCTGCTAATGCGATCTTGCCGCCAAATGTGTCAGTGCTGATAAAATCTTTGCCCAATTCGTAGGCGCCAAATCTCGTCGTCGAATAGGTAAGCTGACGCAATACAGAGGCGGAGAGACCATTGTAGAATGCAAGCACGCCCTGTTCCCGTATAATTTTTGGCACCAACTTTATTATAGACAATTTGCCCTGTTGTGTTTGTAGCGTGACCTTCAGCAGGTCCAAAGGATGTGTTACGCATGCCGCGCCGACGCTGCCAATGCCCCCGAAGTACCAACGTGCATGTTTCTCGACGGTGGTCATTTTGTGAAGCTAGTTGAGCCCGACTGTTAAGCGAAAGATAAAATTTAAGTAACCATAAGCGTTTTATCAATAAGATAAGTTTCTTATGCAAATTTCGCACATTTTTGCTATACTCCGATTGCCAAAAAATAATACTTTTTCAGTTATGTTAGCGCAACATTTTTGCGCGATACAGCAGCCAAAAGGTTACATCATCGTGGTTACGTTTGAATTTATGAAAAGCTAAGGATAATAAACATTGGAAACAGCTGAGCCGTGACGTTGACGTCTATCAGCACATTTAGCGTTGTTGCCCGCGCCTTTAACAACTGGCACTGCTCAACACTGCCGTTAACCTTGCCACATCAGCTAGAAACGTAAGCTAACTAGTCACAATAGCCGCTGCTAAGTGGCAACACTGCTCGCACAGCTGACTGCCAAATGCAGCCATTCTGAGTTCGCTTGTGTTCGCTAGTTGTTTTGTGTAAAATTACAAAGTATTTTTGTCAAACACCGCCAGCAAATCCATAGCACTGAGCGCAGTGATAGTATATGTGTCATTCGATTTGTGAGTACATTGCATAAATATTTATTTATATATTTATTTACTGTTTACTTGTTAACCACTTAGCGTGCATTACGACGCGTCAGCCCCTGTTATAAAGTTGCCGAACAATTTGTTAATTTTGCATGCATCTCATGTTACTGCGTGCGGCTGCATTATGCGCGGCTTTTGATTTCGGCATTGACATTGAGCTACACGTGGTCGAAGCTAACCAAAATACACACATACATACATACATACATACGTATGCACATGTATGTACGCATATTTGTTTGTTTTTATTTCGACTTCGAGAGTTCCCTTTTTTTTATGATAAGCAATTTGTGCACCTGGATTTTAAGTGAGAACAAAGTGTGTGCTTGGATATTTGTGTACTTTTTAAATCATATCCGTTTTTGAACACATCTACAGATGTAAGTACAGTGGTCGCTCGCAAATAAGATAGTTTCGGTTCTGACTATAATTGGCGAATATTTTTTTTTTATATTTCTTGTTTTCATTGCAAAATGCAGTGTATATAAAAGAAATTTAAAAATTAATATTATTATATTAAATAATATATATAAAACATGTTTGTTATGTTTCATATTTGATGATTTCGATTATATTAAGTTTGAAAATTAAATTAAAAGACTTCGGTTTGCCAATTTTGAAAACAATGAAAATTGAATTAAATACAATTTTTAATTTTATGATTTATATGGGCTAATTGCTTGAAGTTTAAAAAATTCGAATTTTAAACAGAAATCAAAAAATGTAAATTTTTAATGTCGGTAAAAGTGTGTCGATTCCGATTACGAGACAATTCTAAATTATGTAAATTCTAATTTGCGAGAGACTACTGTATGCAATTCAATTGGATTTCGCTTCACTTGCGTATTCTGCTATCGTAAACCCAATTGGAAAGTCTAATTTTTCAACTTAGAACCTTATTTGATCTAGTATAAATACAGTTTATTAGCTGCCTCTTATCTTTAGCAGCAAACCTATTAGCTAACATTATTTTGTGTTTAGTCATAAAACAAAATGTGACCCTGTCCGCCGGTTCGGGCTTGAGCTAATCGACTTTCAATTTGTTGTGTGCTTGCCTAGTGATAACAAATTTCATATTACCAAATCGCAAATGAAATATGTAGCTATATTTTGCGTTTGTGATGCTGTCGTTGATTTAATATAAAGACATTTCGTGTGAACCACGCCACGTGCAACTATTAAGTCTATAAATCACACGATATCTCTGCCAAAATTTCAATGGATGTTGGTTTGAACAACATTTTTTTATCTCTTGATTTGAATATGCTTCTATGTTTCGAAATTAATAAATTATCCTTTTTACAAATACTCGAATAATGTTGTAAGGAACATATATTTTCATATATATATTTTTTGCTTTACTACTTAAATTTTTTTGTGATTTTACAGCACTCTTTAGATAACCCTTTTAGGGTATTGATAAGTCGTTAGAAACAAGAACCCACTCTTGTTCGCTTAATTTTGCTTGTTTTTTTTTTATCGGACCATAAAACTGAATGTTCCATGAGCAAAGTTCAAGTAATTAAAACGTATCTAAAAAACGACAAACATCACATGATCCGATGAGAATACCATGCTTATAGATTTATATAAAGTGCCAAAGCTGCCGCGCCCCCACTAGAAAACACACATGTATGTATGTATGCATGTATGTGCGTGCATACATATATGTATGTCTACCGCTATGGAACAGCTGATTGTCACATTTTTCCGTAGCCGTAGATCACGAAACGTTGCGTGATAGTTCCATGATTTCTCTCGCTGTTGCCATTAAAATGATGTCTGTACAAATATTGGTAAATCATGTTTGCCGCGCACACACGCTTAATTGAATTACATACATGCATATATGCAGGTGGGTAAATTGTAATTTACTGTAAATCGCGGCAATTGCTGCATCAGTTATCGAATTGACGAGCCACCTAATTGAAAGTTTACCTTGAAATTGAGAAATAAATGTTGTGGCGCGTGTTGTTTACCGCTATAAAATGTCTTTAACAAGTTCAATATTTTTGGCAACACCGATATATACAAACACACACATAAGCACACACACGAACAGACACCACGCGCGAGAGCAAGAACTTCAGGGCTTCATTACCACAATTGACGGCGAAAAACTGGTCTGGATAATGTGAATCGTTCTTTGCGCAGTTTTTCCTACTCTCTCTCTCTCTCTCTCTCGTCTGCTGGAGGCGCGCACCACACGACGTCCTCGTCGCTTGAGCACTGAATACGTACTGATCGTCGCTGTCAGCAGAGTGTGGACTGAACGTCAGGCAAAGCTTCGGTCAGCGTTAGCCGGCGGCGGCGGTCCAAAACTATGCCACTCTCTCTCGTTTTTCTCTCACTCTTTCTCTCTCTTTGTCTTAGTCGGTAAACTGTTTAGCTTTGGATTCGTTTTATCGCCGTTTGCGTGACAGCGCGGTCAAGGCGGTCCCTTGGAAATGTTTCCAGAAGTGTGGCGGGTTCGGCTTAAGTTAGTCAGTTGTCAGACGCTCCGGCAGCCACAATCAAATTCAAATCAACCCAGTGATAGTGCGAGAGCGTAAGAGCTGGGAGAGCGAAAGAGAGTGCTGCGTGCATTAAACATAAATTGGTGAGAGATTTATTATTTATTTATTTTCTTGTCATAACCTTCGCTTGCTCGCACTTTGTTTGTATGTGTGTGAGTTTCCATTCTACAATTGTACACTGATACAGTAAATGTTAGTGTACATTATCTGCCATGTAAGCGCAGTAAACGGTAGAATTTGCTGTACATTTTGTATACATATTAGTTTTATACATTTGTATACATTCGTTTGTAGTTGTGTTCAAATTTGTCATATCGTCCAAATCGTTCATCGGCTGACCGCTCGTTATCGCTTCTAAGTTTTTTTTTTTTTGTTTCTAATACCCTGTGTCCAAATGTAATCAAATCGGTGTGAATATTAGCTGGAAATTGTAACTAACCAAAAATTAGAACAAATTGGTTTTGTTTTTATTTTTATTTTATATTCTAGAGCGGAGAATCTCAAAAGTATGGTGTTCTACCCATGTTTAGATTTTGAGAACAAAAGCAAATATATTTTTAATTATTAAAAATTTAATTTTAAAAATAAACAATTTAATAGATGCATATGAGGAGATAGTCATACCATAACTAACCGAATTTCGATTGTTTTTTATGCGGTATTAAAACAGATGTGCACTAATATAACAGGTGTGAGATGTCGACTATAGGATCTAAACACAGAAATCTGAAATGGAGGTCGAGTTTATTTCGTATTTTCTATTTTATATTTCATTATACCAGAAAGCAATTGAAATGATGCTAATTTATTTAGTATTTATTAACACATATGGAAAAGCGGAAGCAGCTAGTTTCTATATATGTGTGCTTTTATACTTTCTATGTACATTTAAAAATTTGAGTATACCCTTATGCACACGTGAATACCTGCAGGGTATTTTTAAGTCGCGCATCATTCCTACTTTTTGCTGGGCTTATTGAAATTATGTATTTGAAATGCCCTTTATGTAAGAAATAAAATATCAACGCCGATCGGCCATGTGGAAGCCAAAAATAAACACAAAATATTATTGATCAGCTGTGTTTGGCGCCACTTTATATAATACATTTAAATTAAATGCCTTCATTAATTTTTACTAATTATGCTCGTAATTTAAACGGCATATTTCCATTAGGCAGCAATTCGTATTGTGAGTCAAGGTTCAATGAGAACGTTTATTTGCAATTAATTTGCAGCACAAAATACACAAAAGTTTTCAGCGTTTCGAGCTCGATAAACAAGCAAGCGATTGCAGTGTGCACAAAGTGTTGCCAAGGCAGAGATTAGAGAAATAGCCTAGATCTAGATAATTCGAAAAGCAAATGCAATATTATTTTTTAAAACGATTTTATTATTTGCGTGCTGAAAAAATGGCGGAAACACGTTTTAACAGCTTTTTAGCTGTTCTATTCAAATATTTAATTTACCGAATTAAACTTTGTTCAGAATATTTACGCATGCAAGCTTTAGCAAAAGCTTTTATCCAACGATGCTTTAGAGTGCTTGACAGCATAACTGGGCTTTTGGCGGCGCATTGTACAACGGCCCATTAGCTCAGTTGGTTAGAGCGTCGTGCTAATAACGCGAAGGTCGCGGGTTCGATCCCCTCATGGGCCAAGCTACTTTTTGTTTTATTTTTTATTTATTTTTTTTTTGTAATTTTGTATTTCTTTTTTCTCTTATATCAACATTTAATAAATTATTTTGAGTGCTTTATTTTCATTGATTGCCGGGTTATTGGCTGCGTGTGCCACTGACAGCCATGATGAAGTGACAAAATGAAAATGTTTGCCCGAGTAAATAAATTAAAAAGAAAGTCTGAAAGTCGCCGCCGCCGCCGGTCAACTTGTGTAGCCCCATACAGGGGGCACGCAGCACGTGACCCGTCGCCGAATATGACACTGCTAATTAATAGAATACATTTAATGGCATTTATAAATTGATGAAACATATTCACTTGAGTTGTTCTTTTGTTGTTTTGCAATTATAGCTCCACGCAGCGCACGATTTGTCTGAATTATGGCCGCCTCAGTGCTGCTCGCTTGCGGGTTGAATGAACAGAAGTTGCCCGGTTTCGTGCACATCAGCGAGGAGTCCAACGTGGATGGCAGCTTCCTGATTAGCTGCATATTGGGCCAACGTTTGCGCATCTCCAACGCGGGCACGCTGCTCGTCTGTCTGCAGCATCATTATCAGCATTATTTCAATGCGGGCATGCGGCTCGGCTACAATACGAATATCTTTCTGGACAAGACGCTCAATGTCATCGATGTGCTCAGCGATATGGCGCGACATGGCCTCAGCTCCAAGTGGCTGCGCTCGCCGGATGGCCTAACGCTAACCGAGCAGCTGGTGAAGGATATACGCAACCAACTGGCCAACAACTTTCCCAATCGCAGCAGCTACACCATATTGATTGACAATCTGTCAATATTATTCAATTTGGGCGCCAGCAAGCAGCAGGTGCAACAGTTCTGCCTGGATCTGGCCGATCTGGCCAAGGAGCATGACAATCTGACGGTCATCACCAAGCTGAGCAACAGCGACATTCATCAGCTGACGGACAATAATGTGGCCAAATTGGGACATGTGCGCATCCAGGTGCTGCGGCTCAAGAGCGGCGTCTTCCGCGAGGTCGATGGCAGGCTGTTAATTGAGCGTGTCCTGGACGAGGGCAGCTATGCGTGCGAGCAGTCTCGCAAGGAGGTGCTCTACAAGGTCAACGATCGCAATGTCAAGATCTTCAATCCAGGCGAAATCGGCGTCAAAGTTTAAGTTGAAATGCGCATTGCTACACTTTTTTATGGAATTTATTAAAGCCATTTTGATATAACTAAACCCATCGTCTTGGTGTACTTGTGAAGTCTTTTGCTCCTTGCACACGATCCTTGTCCGTTTGGCTTGTCAACGTCTATCGAATGTCATGTGCCAATAACATCTGTTGTTTGTAATTTTCTCGTACATTCTAATTGCGTTGTCTTCTTCACTTTGGCATCTGTTGACGTCACGCCAGCTGGACACCAGCGCCAGTGACGGACGCATAATGATGAATTCATGTCTGGTCCTGACTTTACGGCGCTTCGGCAATGTAAACCAAAGCGGAGTTCAAATATCCTGTGGTCGCAGCGGTCACCAAAGATAAGGGGCAATGTTCAAACTAAGGCGAAAGAGAAACAAGCGAGAGCGTTGCAAACGGACGCAAACGACTGCGCAATACTCTGTTTAAGGAAATATTATGCTGTGACATTAATCTAAGAGGGCGATTCTTAAAGTATGATTTAGCTTTTTTGTAATTCGGACGTGATGATTTATGTGAAAGTCAAATTGTCCAAAAGAACATAGACAAACTTACTAAACAGCTAATATACTCTTTTTCACTTTATAAGCAGTGTATCGAAAGCAAACATCATATTGAATTTAAGCAAAACGCCCCCACAAGCTGATGAAGTTTTGTCTGCTCTGTGAATAACGATAATTTCCAATCTGCACAGCATCAGCATTTTTACGTAGTCGAAACTTTTTTGTAATTCAAACCTTTTTCAACATCTTAAATGATCCATGCATAAAGTGCTTCGTTTTGTATTATTTTAGCATTTTTAATTCGGACCATTTTCTGTTTTTACCGCTAACAGTTAACGAAATTTCTGGCAATGTCGCCCTGCCAGTGCTGGGCAAGGCAAACGGCTGGATCTGGCAACGCCTTAATTAATTGCATAGATGGTTGGCTTTTGCGCAACTGTTCGCTAAGTGTTTAAATTGAAAGTCAAAGGACACGTAAACCGCAAACAACTTGTGCGTGATCAGAAACTATGCTTAAAGTGAGAATATTTTCCCCTTTTAAATGGGAACGTGGGCAGCTAACCAAACGGAAGCTGCACTAATACATATATATGTATATATATACGTATGTATATATGTGTGTGTCTCGCGGTAACTTCAAAAGCCAATAACGACTTTTGTTTATGCAATGGTAATAAACTGCTGCTCGCAAATAAAGCACTGGAAAATATCTCATTGATTAGGCTGAAAAATTGGGCCCCACAGTAGCCGGCAGGCTTAGCAATTTGTGTGGGCCAGCTAGCCAAGTTAATGACAGCGTTGTGGACAATTTAATGTGCGTGTGGGCAATTTCGTTGCATACTTTCGAGCTGAAAAATATTTACGCCCAATCACATGCACCACACACACATACAGACTGTGACAATGGCATCATCATGCAGAAAAAAAACGAGCTATAATTTATATTCAGCTATAGGCTCGAAAAATGTGCGCTGGTCCCCATAAGACCGACTCGCCTGGCTACCCTTTCATCACTGATAATAACGGCATATTAGTAGGGACCAGGCTGAATACATTTTGCTGTGCAGCTCTTGAAAAAATGCACACGCACATACACAGCACCCTTTTTTAAAGATTTTATTTCATTGCCTGCCAGTTGATGGGCTCCTCCCACTCCAAAGCATCACTCGATTTATATCGCCATTGTGTCGCCCTTGTTTGGCGCACATACTCATAATTTCTGTACGGGCGCAGCAACATGGCGTATGCGTAATATTTATTTAACTGCCGCGATTTGCGCTTTAAAGTCTGTTCAGCTAAAAGGTTTTTGCATTAGCTTCATACAGCCAGCGTTTATTTATTTGATTTGCCGCTTTAAGTGCTGCAGCTTAAAAGGATTTCAAATTCTATT